ACTCCGTGGTCTGGCCACATGCTGCCAAATTGCAGTAAGTGTTTCATCAGCAACTTAATCAACAGCTCCCTTGAGGTTCTGGAGAGGAGAAAGCTTGCCGAAGAGCCCAGCAATATCTAAGACACAGCACACATCAGTCCAGTCCCACCGAAAAGTTTTCCAAAGTGTGTTACTTACACAGACTTTTCATACTTCCTGTGTAACCAAGAAAACTTAAAGAAGATGTCTGGTTTGAGAAGGAGAGCTTGCCACGCATCAAAATAACCCTGGATTTTAGCCACGATGGCACTTTCTGGAAAAGACAGAAAAAGAGAAGAGCAGTTGAGCAAAAATGTGAGCCCAAGAAGGTTATGCTGGTCAGAGAAGATGCCGTAGGCTCTGCTACCATCTGGGATTCTAAGCAGGGCACGGTTCCACTTTCAGAGGGCGTTTCAGCCACGTGAATGTCACTACACAAATCAACAGTGATTTATTCTGCTTGGCATCTAGATTGGCCATGTTAACCAAGATTTGCCATTTTTCAACTTTGTATTAAGAGATACGCTGGATTCTCACATGCTTCTCCTTGCCTGAGATTCCACCTCCCTCCTGTTTTCCTGACCATGGGAAATAAGAAGGGTCCTAGTAATTATGGATGTTGTGGCCTTGATTCTGGCACATGAAAAGGAAAAAATCACACCACTGTGCTGTTTATATTTTGGTCCAGTGGGTAGAATTCATCTTGGACTCTTCAAGGCCTTGTTCTGAGTCTCGTGCACAGTCAGCTCTTAAAGGATGTTTTGAAATAAATTGAATACTAAAGAAAAGAAAACCTCTACTGTATTCAAATTATATAAAAGGGAAGGGTATAGTCGTTTATTTTCAACTGCTAAATATCAGATACAAGGCAGGGTGATGTATAAATGAGACTTCCGTTAGTCCTGACAGTCTTGCTAGGGGAGTGATATGTCATCATTTTGCAGAGACAAAAACTGCAATTCATAGAAATGAAGAAGCTTACCCAACACTGCACAGCCAGTGTGGCAGGCAAGCCCTGGGCTGGAGCCTGGTTCTGTTTGACCTCAGAGCAATGTCCTTTCCTCTTTGTTGAACTGGGTCCCTCAGGCAAATTGAGAGTTTGACAAGGACCGGAGAGCAGAAGGAATATACACATACACAATTTGTATGAGCTAAGCAGGTTCTTAGCACCAGTGTTGTGTCCATAAGTTAACAGAGCTGTACAATTCCCTTCATTTGATCCCTCCTAAGAATCAAGGCTAGCAGGGAACCGAGGAGCAGGAACTTACATGTACCTGTCAAGCCTTGGGAGAGATGTGTGTGGAACAGGCAAGCAGGACCTTCAGAGTCTCTGTCTGAAAGCAGATCAGGCAAGAGGCTGTGACTCAAGTCCTCAGAGTGAACAGGGCTCCC